GAACGAGAAGGCAGTAGATCATCCAGAAGAACCAGACTTTGATGAGGTGCTTGCAGTCGTGAAACGACTTGAGGAAAGGCCATAAAACAATGGCGTTGATAAACATGAGGAAGGCTCCCATGATAACGAGCCCAGCGAAGTGTCCTTGCATTGCTGGGTTATTGAGGACATAGCGAGGATTGTAGAAGGGATTGACGGTGCGTTCGATGTAGAGGACATGCCACCAGATGACGAAGGGATTGACCCCGAAAAAGAAGATCTTAGCCCACATATTTACTTGTGAGAAGGGATGGTTGTGAGAAAGGACGGTTGTGAGAAAGAATGGTTGTGAGGAAGGATGGCTATGAGGGAGGATGGCTGTGAGGAAGGATGAATTGGATTCTCGTAGAGGGTCTTCTAGATGAAGGAGGATGATTATCGGTGATGATTTTGGATGAAGAAGCACGAGTGAGGAGGGGTAATTAGAAGGAGCAGGTGAGCCGTAGCAGTATCACATTCTCAGGCCATGGTAATAAACAGCACAATGTATAAATGTATAAATGTATATACAATGTGTACATGTAGGTTCAATACAAGCTTCACTAGCGCCTTCTGTTAACCCTGCTGTATCTGGCTAAAGCTAAAAGTGAGCCCCCCGAGCTTCAAAGGTATTCCAGTCGCTCAGCAGTCTCCAAGGCAACATAAAATATAGAATGAATATATTAATACATTTTTTAAGCACGACAGGAAGCTTCATCCTAAACCACACCTGCTATCACAACATCAACTTCATGTTCTATCACTCGCATTGTAGACTTGACTATGGGTTAGGTTTATATCACGTGCTATGCCCTAGTGAGATATTATCCTATGTCCTACTAGCACAGTAGCATCGATTCCTATAAAAATTTCTTTCAATAAATCTCATACCGCCTTCCTCAGGCCTTTCTAAGCTTTAACTAGTTCAAACCTGAAGTATCACATGGTGATGATAATTCCCGCCTTTGATCAAAATCAATTAATTATAAGTGATGTGCATGCTAATAATTAATTTCTTGGAGCTTACTAAAGTACGGGGCTTGGCATTTCCGAACACTAAGAGCCTTCGAATTTCCACACTAGAGCAGAGTAACAGAGTTACAGTCGTTCAATGTCGCTTGACGAATACTGCCAGTTGACGAACAGGGGACTTTGGCCTAGTAGACTGAGGGTCTCGCAGCTTGGCTGTTACTTGATGTTTTTTCCATACTTGGAATCCCTGTTCGTCAAGTAGCAGTATTCGTTAAGAGACGGTGAACGACTGTAGTAATAATATGAATCAGATGATTAGAAGATCCTGTCAGGCATAAGGAACCTGTCACCCAACAACCCAAGAGATCTATGAGTATAGGTAACTCCCGACCTATCGGTCCTAGACCTCGGGTCTCGCCTTTTCTTCTCGAGCTTGTCCTAATATCTATATCCAGGACCGGATGATGGAAACCAATACAATGTCTTCTTTTCGCATGAAACGCCTTGGTAGGACAAAGGATCGCCGTTGTGAAAGAATACCAATAAGGGTATCACAATCTCCAATTGAGATCACAATATCTCACTCGACAGTTCTCGTTCAGAGCAACATGAAGAGAAAGAACGACTATCGGCGAGGGCCGTCTCGAGAATTAATGCGCCTTTGGAGTAAGCTTCTTATCTAATATAATATCGATCGACTCGATCTTCTTCTTATCAGCGTAGGGCAAAGATCTACCATGCAGGAAAGCACAAGAGCTCCCCACACACACCCTCTTTTTTTAAAAAAAAAAAAAGTTGAAAACAATATCAGGAACAGCTGAAACTTACCCATCATTCAAAACTAGCACACACCAAAACGAGCGAGATGGTTTAGAAGACTGAAGAGACGACCCTCATGATCGGCGAGTTTAAAATCTCTCGGATCAGAGTCCCCAGCACGCGCAGCGCACGGTTCCACTTCCTGCTCCCTATTGGCAGGCCTCCTGATCTGATGGTATGGGTAGAGTTTGCTAGTTCAAGTACGTGTCTCGAGTCTCGACTCTTTACTCTAGATTTTGAAACTGAGGTCTTGGAAGTGGTACGTAACCTCCGTCTTGGTATCATTGGCACTGGCTTGGCTGTTGGGATTAATTGCTTGGGCGCCAAGCTATCTGCTCTAGCTAGAAGATTACATATTCTGTGAGAGGAAAGTTTTGATGTGGTAGCTGGTGCACGCGCTGCAAAGTCAAAAGAGATTAACCGGGAAAGGGGAGGTGGGTACACTGCAGATTCTTATGTGAGGATGCATGCATTGCATGGAAAGTGATCTTTTCACTGACAGCCAAGCATATTAATCGGTATTCACATTCAAATTCATTGATAGCATCGTCAATATAAGGTTTTTTTTGAGAGCCCGAAGATAGTACTCTACGTCCTGAGGTTCTCAAAATTAAGTGCTTGAGGTGAAATGCGAGTACGCGTGGATACACCTTAGTATTAACATGCTCCACAAACCTAGGCGTACCGAGCATGAGATATCACTCGCCATGGGCTCTCCGTTTCCTAAACAGGAAACGTACCTGCTGTTCAGTACACCATTACAATCATGGAACTTTGCGGCTGAAGTCAATATCAAGGGCGCCAGAGCGTACCGGGATTACAAGCTATCCCACGTTTATACTTATTCTCTAATATGCATATACCCGAGTCGACTAATCAATTCTGTGGCAGGAGAACCAGTTTTCTGAGATCAATAATCAAGATAGTATAGTTTAGGAAGGTAGGTCTGCATGTCAAATCCCGGGCCGAGTCGACTTAGGTTCCGAGTGATACCCGTGGGCGGTAATTCGGATGCGAAGTGATGCCATATGCTAAATACATATTTAGTCCGAATATCGAGAGAGACCATGCCATTTTCTCTGAATATGGGGAGAGTAGCCATATTTTTGTATTGGTCAGGATTTAGATATAGGGCTGGCCGGCACGGGCTAAAGAAAAAAAAATAAGGTTTGAAAGGGGGATCTGTCACTAAAGAGAATAGGGTTCAAATGACATCATGAGAGCTTACCTGTCCTCCACATCTCTTCATCTTGATCCTTCTATTCGGTACTCCGTCTTCACTGATCAATTTTTCTCCATAAAAGCAAAGCTCCGCCATCATAATACCTCCTCTGGGCCACGGAACCAGGATGATAACCGAAAATAACAAAATAGCGCACCTGTAGCAAGAACCGTACATGGAATACTGCCCGCGGCTAAGAAATAATGCCCGAACCTCCGACCAAGTCAAGCTCAAACCCGTGGTGGTGCACTTAAGGTGTGAGAATTTGACGTGTACTTAACCCTGGTTGACATCCCAGGTGATGCAGGGTTTTGTTGTCACAGGCTATCACTCGTTGAGATCATCTGGTAGGTTCGATAGTTCACTTGACTTGCACACCTGACGTCTCTTTGTATCTCCGGAATCCTTAAACTTTTGCAGAGCTAGAGAAACGAACTCTACACGAGACTAACATACATTTTATATTCAGTTGCCTACCGCGCGCGCGCGGAGATACTGATCATCCCCAAAATGTTTCACAGAAACTGTCGTCCAGCACCTAACCGATACACCCAATCTCCTTCAGTCCATCCTTGCATGCCCCAATATTGGCTAGCCCGTCCGTTTTGGGGCATCATCCGCTATGCGGAATGACGGATGCAGGGACTTTTTGTGTGAAGGCCTAGGGATCTACAACCTTTATGTCAATTCAGTAATTGGCGGTAGATACCGCGCCAGAGGTGTTCACTCGCCATACAGCCACATGTGGAGGATGACAGATGCTTGAGAACCCACCTGCGAGGGGGAGGGAGGGTTTGACCAGTGAATGGTTATTCCAAACCCAACTTTCCCCGTTCGCAAGGGTTCCCCCTCCCCAAAGAGAATACTAGCACATAGAGACTATGATGTCTCATGGATCCAATCGGGATTCCGACCAAACCCCGACGATTTGGATATTAAGAATTTCGAAAAGTCTAGAAATGCGGTTTTTTTTTCCCCCTCTCTTCTCTCGCAGTACAAGGGAGTTCCCTACTGTCTCAAACACAAGGTAAGATCTCCCGATCTTCACAACTCGCCTTGGTACTGCTCGAAATCGTTAGTGAGTGTCCAATGGTCTGTGCGGCTGGCCTTGGGAGGCTGCGCCACATGCCCAGGAGATTACGCGTAATGTAATGTGCCGATATGCGGAAGGGCCCGTGTTTGGATTGGGGTGAGGGTTTGTTAAGCATATCTATTTGTCGCATCTCTGGATATTCTCCTGTTTGGGGGTGGTTGGGGATTGGTGTCGAGACGATGTGATGTGTATGAATGTTGAGGAGAGGAAAGTCCCAGCCAGAGTAATCAATTATGGTGCTTGTGCAGGAATCGGGCACCCAGGTCAGCACTCCATGTCGAAATTGGTCAATGATGGACATATGTAGTTGAAGTACCTGCAGGTTAGACTATTCTACAGGCACATATAGTTGGGATCATGGGGCATTTTGCTTTCCCGTGCAATGTGAAATGCGCAATCGTGAACTGTCGCTAGCTGCAAGGCTATTCAATTATGATCATTGCCAGAACACTTTGCTCCAATCCACTCATGCGCACTGAAAAAAGCGGTCCAATTGCGATCTTTTTCCACAAGATTATGTTTTAATTGCCTATTACCTGTGCGACTAATAAATGCAATACTTGAAGGAAAAAAAACAAAAGAAAGAAAAGTTTGTCACAGAAAGACAAAGTCAGCCGTAAAAAATGTTCTATCCCCCAGCCCATCCATCCATCCCAATAAGCAGCAGCACCCTCGGGGCTATTCTCAAACGAAACCCAGTCCGTAAAGAATGAACCAGCAAGCAAGCATAAAAAAAAAAAAAAGAGTAATCCGGAAAAAGCACTAAACTCCGCCACCACCATGACCGTCTCCGTCACCCCCCTTCCATAGCCCAACTTTCATCTAGTCCGAGACATTAAGGCGTTAGGTATTGCGGGCGAAACTAGAAACAGCACTCTAAACAGTCGCAACAAGCGTCGCAAGCACAACAACAACAGATACCAGCGAGTCTATCATGTAAAAGTCAGTACTAGATTCTTCATCGAAGTCTTCAAAGCTTATAGCAGGCGTCCTTACAGTCCAGTTATTAAACCGCCGTTACCGCCACTGTTACCCTTCTGCTCAGGAGGGGGCTGCTGGTATTGCATTTGCTGTTACACATCGTTAGCATCACATGATCAAACATCGTGGGATAGAGTTCGTGGGGAATGAATTACCTGTGGAGGGTATCCACCCTGCTGAGGATATCCGCCCTGCTGAGGAGGGTATTGGCCATAGGCGGCCTGAGGAGGGTACTGGGGCTGGCCACCAGGAGGTCCGTAGTATTCTTGAGATGCCATTGCGAATATAGGTAGTTGTAGTTAGGTAGTTGTAGTTAGGTAGTTGTAGTTAGGTAGTTGTAGTTAGATTGTGATGAGAAGAACTGAACTGCTTGACGAAGTGTGTGTCTGAGGACGAGAGGAAAGGTGGAGGTAGTTGTTATATAGAAGGACCGAAGATCGAATTGCGTGGTCTGACTTATGTGATATGCAGCAGGAGTGATAGAGCTAGTGGAATGACTTTCAGAAAAAAAGAGAACAAAGGGTAACTACAGGCCCATCTAAATACTCCCACCACCCTGCCCTACCCAAAATTTCAATTCCCAGCAACAAAAAAGAATTGGCAAGCAGGCCCCCAGAAATCGAAGAAAACGCTAGTAGTGTGTGCAGCCCAACCAGCCAACAAGTAAAACCCCTCGAGTCTCAGCTTCCCTAGTAAGGTGTGCAGTAAGGAATCGTGTGCTCGCGCGCATACCACACACTCCCCCAATAATGACGTCCCTCCCATGCCAAATCGTGGCGGTGTATCAACCTAACCCATTCATTAATTTACCTGCATCCAGCAACTCAAGTGTGTGTGTGTGTGGGGGGGGGAGGGGGAGGTTTTAGGTGGTTTTGGTGGAAGACAGATCCAGTGGACAGCGGTCTTCGGAAAAGCGCGAAATCACCAACCCACCCGGGTGATTCGGAATGTCTTCTCAAAAGCTTAGCTCTGACGCCAGGCTGTCTTGGAGTGCCGGGTTGCCGGGGGGCAGTGGAGGGGTGGCCGCGTGGATCGCAGCAGCAGCTCGGAGAAACGGCTTGTTGGGGAAAACCAGGGTATGTGTGTGGCTGAATCACGTGAAAGAGGCGCACCAAGGACCAATACCCGATCTTGGGGTTGGGGCTTCGGCCAGATAAGCGACGGGCTTGGCAACGGATATGATGGGATCGAGGGCTTTGTGAGACGTCACGTCAAGCGCTCAGAACTGCACGAAACATGTTGATGAGATCAGGACGAGTGGCTGTGAGAGTGGGAGCAGGGAGGAGGTTCTTCTCGGTGTCGGCGAGGAGGTGGGAGGTGCTGTCGACGGATGAGCTGCCGGAGAGGGTGCATCCGCTGTACTCGAGTGAGTGGTTTCTCTCTGCTACCAATCTACTGCTATTATTGGTGCTGTTGTTAGTAGGGTAGCAGCAATAGGACTTCTGCGCTATTATTGCTATCGTTACTACTATTGCTATTCTAATATGCAGTGGCTGCCATTGATACTACTATTACTGCTAGATATGTATAACTAATACCCTATCACCAGCACCAGAATCTCCTGCCGCTACGTCAAAGCTATGGAACCTCACATGGCCTAAAGAACCACGCAATATCCTACTCATAAAAAAGCCGAACGTCCCCTTTGTCCGCACAGCACTGATAGAACTCGCCAAGTAGGTACAGAAACCCCTCCATCGCATAGTAACCTGCTGGTCCATAGTAGTAATAATGGTCTAATTACAATCCCCGTAATAAAAGACATATAAAGAGCACTTACCCCAAGACCAATATAATTTTGGAGCCTGCAGTCGCTCACTCCATCCACCACGAATTCTCATTCCCTGTATATACTCTCCCACCTTCCCCTGCATCTACGCCCTTCCCCTACACGCAAAGTACCTACCCTCGCACTCCTGTGCCCACCGCGCTGCAGAAACCCCAAAAGGCTTCCTTGACATCACCCTCCGGCGACCTCATAAACCCCTACCACACCAAGACCGACCTCCTTGTCACTCTCGGCGGTGATGGAACAATTCTGCATGCCGCGTCGCTCTTCTCGACCTCGCGACAGGTGCCACCTGTGCTCAGCTTCGCCATGGGGACACTTGGTTTCCTCGGTGAGTGGCGGTGGAACGAGTTTGTTGAGGCTGTGAGAGTGGTGTTCGAGGGCGCTGGAAGAGTGCTAAGAAGGGAAAGGTTAAAAGTTGGCGTGTATGATCGGGATGGGAAGAGGGTCGGTGGTGATTGGGGTGAGGTTCAGGGGATCGGCGGTGAGTGCTTTTCTGTGATGCTATTTTTGGTTGGGTTAGGGTTGTGCTGACAGGCCATGATGGACTAGATGCGCATGCGATGAATGAGGTTAATATTCATCGTGGTAAAGACCCACATCTGGCCATTGTAGAGGTGTTTGTAGATGGCCGGTTCCTGACCGAGGGCGTGGTATGTTTGTTCCTGAATTTGCTGTCTTTTTGATCATTTCCCTGTCGAATATCAGCACAACTATTTTCTAATACTGACATCCTATCTAGGCCGATGGTATGATCATCTCAACGCCCACGGGCTCCACTGCCTACTCGCTGTCATCTGGCGGCTCCATCATCCATCCTTCGGTCTCCTCGCTCCTCATCACGCCCATCTGCCCCCGATCTCTCTCCTTCCGCCCACTTGTCCTGCCAGCCGACTCCGTGCTCACACTGAAGTTGAGCGAGCGGAATCGCTCGGATGAGGTCGAGGTTAACGTAGATGGACGACGATGGGGAGGAATCGGAAGGGGTGAAGAGATTAGGGTGTGGAGCGAGGAGATGAAGAAGGAGGGCGGGTGGGGTGGAATTCCGTGTGTGAGGGGTGGGAAGGGGGGCGGGGATGATGGGTGGGTTGGTGGGCTGAACGGCCTTCTGAAGTTTAATCACCCGTTTGGCGAGGATGAGTAGGGCGACAGGTAGTTTAGTTGGACTAGTATTTTTCTTTGCTTTTGATATCGTGTACATACTCTACTCCAATTGCCTTACCCGGGATGCTGCCTGTCTTGTTGCACAGTCTATGATCCTGGTAACAGAGAGCCTCCGAGACAAAGATCCTAAACCAGCTGAACCCGCGGTGATCTCTCCGGGTGTAACAGACTTTATCCCTAGATACATGTATGTAGCCTGAGTCCTAGTGCAGCTTTACACTCTCAGAACCTTAATCAAGTTGGCGTTCTGGATTTATGATCGATCTGGGTCGCCGAGCATGGATGCTGTGGAGCTGCAAGGATTCGGATATGTACCGTATTAGTGTGGATGTCAGAATGCTTTTTTCTAGAACGCTTCCCTTTTTGGCCTCCTCTAATAATTCACCGAATTAGTAATCGTAGATCAGCATTTCTTGAAATGTTAGCTTCTATATCAAATAAATGCTCAATTGATGTTTTCAAACTCTCTGTTGGTATAATACATGTAGGTTTAAGGCTCGGATATGTCAAGTGTCGCCAACCCTTAGTAACTTCCTTTGGCACAGACCTCCTGCGGCCCATATTCACGCTATTTTCCTAGTTGTCGTAAACTTTATAATGTATATTCCAGGTGGGCTCCCGCCTTTCAGTGATGAGTCCACGTTTATGTTTTTGCAATGTACCCCGCAAGAAACCATTCCTTATGTCAGCTCGTAGAATATATACCATCTCTTCCCCGCATTTCTCTTTCTCTTCTTCTTCTTCCTCTCTTCATATTCGAAAACATCTGCGGCTCTCCTATGGTCTGCCTCAGAAACCTCTTCATATAATTTCTTCCTTCTCATCGGTGGGGTCTTCTCCCAGTTATTTATTCAACCCTTTTAAAACATAAATTCCCATGTCTCCAGCTCCTCCCCCCGCTCCTCCACGAAACAATCCATCCATTCTTCCCAGAAGACATGGCCCGGGAATTTTATTCCCGAGCGGTCTTTTCTATCTGGGAAGTCTGGCTGGGGGGCCAGCAACATCTCGTTTCCTTTCTTCGGGGTTCGTAGGGAGTATTTTTTACTCCCGAGCGGCCTTTTCATCAGGGCAAGGAGTTGCTCATCTAACACCATTTTCCTGCTTCTCCTGGAACTGGGCATAGGGGATAATAGTAATATATTCCCCAACGCTCTTTTCCATGGCAGTGACTCTGGTAGCAGAGTAGCTCCCGTTCCCTCCTTTTCTATTTTTTGTTTTCTTTTCCGGGAGAAAAGTCCTGGGAAAGTTAAACAAAATTGAGGACGATCTCAATGGTTGTGAGTATTTCTTTCTTTGCTGCTGCATCAATTGTTTAATTAGCTATGGTTGAATATTGCTGATAATCGAAATAGCTCTATTTTATTGTTTTCTAGCTGTCTCCAGGTTGGTCTTCCCTTATCTATTTACCACCTCCCCTTTTTCTTTGCTGTAATGAACTTGCACTGACGTATAATTTATTTTGGGTATCAGCGATGGCACAATGGATACACACAACATTGTTGTGGTGTTTTTTTTCGTAAGTGGTAGCCTCCCCCATGTTCTTTGATTCTTGTATTGACGATTGATCATTTGCGAAGATAGGCCCCAGGATTTATCTTCGGTGGCGAGTCCAAAACTGTAAGGGAGACATGAGTTGTCTACCACCTCGTTCAAACCAGGGCCAGGCAATGGCACCGCGCTGGGGGTTCAGGTGGCAGAGGTGGTGTGAGGGATAGAGAGTGGGCCGTCTTCCGTGTTGGCCATTTCCTCTTTGAAATGTGCTATCAGCATATATCTGTGAGTATTCCATCGTTTCCTTTTTATTTTACCCTTTCAGGAGGTCATAATAGCTGATAAAGTTATCTAGGATGTGAGTATCTTTATCCATGCCTCCATAGCAAATCTTTATACTGAGAATTTTTCCTTTTTAGAGAATGGAAAAGTATGGATATATTTGGTGTTTGTAAGTCTTTCTCCTCTCTAGAATGTCAAGTTAGCAATATTGACGGAATTTGTAGGTCGTTTCGAACGGCCTGGGACCCAATTTGAGTTGGCATTATATTGGAGGGAGGGAGGAACAGGGGGAGATTCTTCGCCTGTGGGTATGTTATATCCATTATTCTAACTCGGAAGCCGTTCTAACTTTCATATGCTTTAATAAGAGTGGGTTTGACGCTAAGTCTTTGTAAGGGAGACTTGAGTTGTCTTCGGCAATGTAAAAGTAAGTGTACCTATTCTGTCATTCATTTATTTATTCACTCCTTCGTCTAGAAAACTCAACATCCGATTTAAATTAGTAACTGATAAGGAATGTATAATTTAGGCTGTATCAGTATTATTGAGGCCCATATTAGATCTCTAGCAGGTAGGCATCACTATATTCGCACCTTGGTTCTGAGTTCTAATCATAAGGTATCGCATTAGATCTTGCTGTGTCTGCAGGAACAGCAACCCACGATAAGAGAGTCCCGACGTTGTCAGCAACCTCAAAGGCTGTTTTTCTGGGACGGATAATATAAGGTTCGTCAATATCTCATTATTTCTCGTTTCACCTATGCATTCCTTGAGTTGAGGTTCAAGCCGAATTAGTAGCTACATGTAATTTGAATACCTAAAGTTGGTTCATATAGAGGTATATGGCATACAAAGGAGTAGGAGAAGCGCTTTAAGTATACCTTTGTTTGAAAATCTTACTAATCACGATGTGTCTTACTAGTGGTTGCTGGGTTGCAGGAGCAGCAACCAACGGATGTGAGGCGGCCTTCTTTGGTCATGCATCAAAGCATTTCGGGGGTGCTACAAGGGGATGGAAGTTACAATCCGGGTGGGGCCCGCGTGAGTTGATGGTCTATTCGTCTTTGAGGTTAAATAAGAACTAACAGTTATTCACTCACAGTAGTACGTTGGATTGTCTTGCCCCCTGCCTGAGGGCAGCCGTTAATGATTGTGCCGGCCCCTCTCCAGCTGCTGCGGTGAGCAGTGGTGAGGGCCGGCTTATGTGTGATTTTGCCGTCTGCTCTGTAGGTTAGTATCACCCTGTTGAGTTTCTTAGTTAATCGAATTTTTTAACTTTACTGATACGTTTACGGAGTTAACTAGTTGGAGTCGATGATCTAGAGATCTTTCATCAAACAATACTTGTGAGTATTTCTCCATTATTCCATGTTTCATTCGAGTGGTCCTGACTTAATTTGGTTTTTCTTCTTGGTTCAGAAGCAGATGAAGTACTTGAGTTTACTCGCCAAGAGTCACAACATACCCGGTTTTGGGAAAGACCCATCCCCCTGCCCGGTGTGGGGGGGGGGGGGGGGGACAAGAGGCAGAGGAAGAGGTGAAGATCCTGTAAGGATTTGTTGCGCCATTCCATTGCTGCAAATGTAATACATTGCTCTTTAGTTCTTGTTTTCTTTTGTGGATCCAACCACTCGCTTCTACCTACATTGGGTAGTTGTGTAAAGTTTTGTAAGGGATAGCTCGGCTGCAGTCATAGATCGAGTAGCAGAGGAATGATAAGATTGATTATGTGGTGTTTCTACATTGATTTGTTCTTCAATTTGGACCTATGATGTGGCCAGTCGTTTAGATGTATGACAAGTTCGTCCACCTTATTTGTGCTGCAGATTGAATATACGAACTTTTCCCGTGCAACATCATGGTTTTTACTGTAGACAATCTCATTATTTGTAGCGTGAGCACCCTTCCTTAAAACCACCCTATGGGGTTAACTTCTATAGTGTTACTAGGCTTTTGCGAGTGATAAACTGTGACTCAGATCTTTCGATAATCACCGATCGTTAAATAATACGCGCAAGGGGCCTTAAAACCGAAGACAAAAAGGAAGGAATATAATAGGCGCATTGGCCTTGGCCGGGTTTGATGGAAGATTTCTTGTTCAAGACATATAACCACCGAAAGGTTTCAATAGGACAGCTGTCTGATCATCTCACCCACCAGGGTGTATATATATGAGGCCATCTTGCAGTTCCAGCAAGTAATTGGAAAATTAATGCTCTATCGGAGGCATAATTATGAAGTTCCATATGTTTCACGTAAATATTAGTCAGCAACCAAGTACCACATTTGTTTCTATATGCAGGGTTACGTAGGCCAAGATCAATGGCTTTGTAACGCCAGGGATGTTCAGGGACCCATCCGCGTGTGTGGGGTCGTTTATGGCACGTGTAGCCATGTGAGACCTGTTTCAACAGCTACTCGGTACCTCTCCCTAGACCATAACATCATCAACCATCTCAACCACTACGCTCTAACGCCCTCTGTACGGTCTTATCGAGTATCCAGCATTATCAACGAAATTTCCACACGAGGGCCCAGGGACAACAAAGACACAGACGATGTCGAACTTCATCCCGGGAGCTTTCCCCACAACAGCTCCGTCATCAACGACAGCTGTTTCTTTTAAGACTGCCTCCTCAGTCAGCTTATCTGATTCGGCCGCATACCCTGGCAGTGGACCTCCACCGAAAAAACGGGATAACCAAGCATATATTCAGGAGCAGATGCTCCTGCGGCGGGCCGAGTTTATCCGGCAGAAGAGGATCAGGATAAAGATTGGGTCCTGGAATGTCGCTGCGATTCAAGGATGTGAGAGGGATCTAAGTGACTGGATTGTGGATAAGAAGAGGGATATGCGTACTATTTCTTTGGCAAATTATGTTGAGGATGAGGCGGACATGGCCAACGGAGATGATGTTGGAATATATGTTATTGCGTTACAGGAGGTGGTAGATGTAACTGCTACAGAAAACTTCATAAAGTATACTGATCCAAAGATTTCCCTAAATTGGAAAGCACATGCTCAGGTATTTCTCTCGAACATGTTCTCGTTGATTGAGTTTGAAATCGTGAGGTAACTCTTTAATGCCTAGGCAGCTTTACCCAACGGATATGTATGCGTAGCATCCCCACAGCTGATCGGAGTCCTATTGCTCGTTTTCGTTTCACCCCGTCTTATGTCGGTAGTGGGGTCGGTTTCAAGCACTACAGTCGGTACCGGACTGATGGGCTATGTAGGAAATAAAGGAGGCGCCGCGGTACGATTAGTGCTCGGAGACACCCTGAGACTAGTGTTTGTGGATGTTCATCTAGCAGCCTTTGTGAACAACACCGACCGGCGGAACTGGGATGCAGCAGAAATCGTTCGACGAGCCAACTTTGAGCCAGTAGCCAAAAACTTTGTTGGTCTCGACGACGATGATGCGAGAAATGACCAAAAAAACTCCCAGCAACCTGCGGGCGAGACTATCGACAATGCCGACGTTGTTATCTGGTGTGGGGATCTCAATTATCGAATCGATCTTCCGAATGATGATATACGACGGCTGTTTTCCTCATACATGCCAAAGGATCTACCGCCAACACATGATAGCCCAGGACCATCTGTGCCTTCTACACCGGTGATGCGATCTCCACCAAGTTTTGACTTTCCTAACAACAAGAATTTCCCGCCTCCTCCCACTGAGGTACATCCAGAAGCCGGCTTAACCCTAGAAGAAACGATCGATAATATCATGCAATATGACCAGCTTCGAAAACAACAAAGGGAGTCGAAGGCTTTTGCTGGATACAAGGAGGGAAACATTAAGTTCCTTCCTACCTATAAATACGATGTCGGAACAGTCGGGGCATGGGACTCTAGTGAGAAAGCAAGAGTGCCCAGTTGGTGCGATCGCGTGTTGTGGAAGGTTAAGGGTGCCGATGGGGACCGCATCAAGGGCAGGATAAGGAGCAGAACTAGGAGTTCAAGCATTCTAACTTCTACCGGTGAAGTGATATTTGAAACAAGTGACTCTGACGAAGAAGATCTAGTCGTTTCCAGAGGCGAAACTTCAGTCCCTCACGCACCGAGCGTTAAGAAATTGCCAATATCAAGCTTCAAAACAGGCTCCGGTGAAGTCAAGCTAGAACAACTATATTATTCTTCTAGTCAGAATATTTCATCATCAGACCATAAACCAGTCGTTTCGCTGTTCGAGTTGACGTTCCCGTCCGTTATTTCCGACCTCAGGACAAAAACCCACGCAGATGTAGCACGGGAGGTTGATAAGGTCGAGAATGAGCGGCGACCAATCGTAACAGTGATTGTCGATCCTGTGGAGAACCAAGAGTATGAGGAAGGAGTGGTAGACTTTGGACGTGTCAGGCTCGGCCAAAATATAAGCCGATCCATCACCATTGCAAATACTGGAGCAACAGAGGCCGCAGTAAGATTTGTTGGAAAACCATCAGCAGACGACGGGGCTGCAGAGACACCAACAGCATGGTTGAAAGAGGAAAAGGTTTTCAAGGATTGGTTGTTAGTGGATTTCTCTGATGGCGGAAAAGAAATGAAGGGGGGAGGTGTACAATTGCAGCCCGGCGACACGTGCTCTATAACTTTGTCACTCCTAATTGAGAAATTGGAGGATGTTAGGAATCTGAACGAAGGAAAGGAAACTCTCATGGATGTTCTTGTATTGCGGGTTGATGGGGGCAGAGATGTTTTCTTGCCACTAGGTGGGGAGTGGGTTCAAACTGGCTATGGGAGAAGCTTGTCCGAGCTTATCAAAGTTCCTGAAGGAGCTGGTGGAATAAGAGGCTGGATCGAATCTGGATCTAAAGGCGAAGTGTTATATTCGGCTCCAAGGGAGCTCTATAAGATGACCGAATTCTTATTGAGTCATATGCGAGACATTGCCGTCGGCGACGGAAGATGGTACTCAGAACCCGGATGGCCTTTTGTAGAGGAGACTTGGGGCCTCAATAAGGAGAAGAGGCAAATGCTCAACACCGGTGTCTGGGAATGCCTTGATAGAGACTTGGATCTTAGTAATCAGGATGCTTTACGCATTGCCCTTGAGCTAGAGGAAGATGAAGAATTTAACCCAACAGACGAAGATCTTGTCGAAGTGGTTGCGGGGGTACTTATGCAATGGCTCCGAGGTTTGAAAGAGGGTATTGTACCTGTGGAAATTTGGCAAGATATCTTCAAAGCTGGTGGTGAGAGGAAGTTAGCAGAACAGGTTTGTCTCCTTATAAATATATATATACCTCTAAGTATTTATTTGATTGTTAAATCCTGGTATCGATAGGTTCTCGATAAATTATCTTCACAATTCTCCTCCGTACACGCCAATGTATTCGTGTACCTAACCGGATTCCTCATGGATAGTATATCCACATTATTATCTCCTCGTCCTCTAGGCAGGGCACCTACGATTGTGAGAGTACCTACAGTTAACGAGAGGGAAGAGCCTCCAATGTCTCCAATGTCACCGATGTCTCCAATAACTTCTGCCGCGGCAATGGCATTTCCACTCCGAAGACCATCTAGAGAGGTTATCATCAGAAGAAGGGTACTGGAGGCGTTTGCAGATGTTATTATCCGGAGGCCATTACCTACCAAGGGAGAGAAGAAAGGAAAGGCAGACGATCAAGAAAAAACAAAAAGAGCAGCATTTTTGGAGACCTTCGTAGTGGGTGTCTAAAGTATTAGAATGTAGCGATTGAGCGCATATGCTTGTTAGACCTGTCACCTGTATCATTTTCCTTTTGTTAATGAACTTGTGCATAGGGGGAGTTTGGCTTCGGATTACTTATAGCGGATTTGGGTAACAAATACCGGGTTAGAATAAATCGCTCTTTATTTTTATGGTACTATATTGGATTAAATTTCTGGTGCTATTGAAAAGATGTAAAACACGGGGGGACCTATCTAGCCTTATGTGATGAAAATGTTTAAAGGTGGAACTGCCTTCGACCAATTCCAGAGGCAACAATAGCTAAACCTAAATGAGGATAGAGAGAAAGAATAGACCTGGTTCTCGCTGCCTCAACGCAGGACAGACTTAATTGGACGGGCTAATATACAGATTCTGGTAGAATTAATGCGAAAGTGGGTTTTCCGTGACCAGATAGTCCCATTGGCCCTTAAAGGAATTTTTGCAGTGAGCACGGACCAAGAAACCCACTCTTTTAGTTCTTTCGCAATAATTCTACCGGATACTGTATATAGCACCTGATGAAGATTGTTAACCTTGAAGAAAGAAAAAACTTGATCAGATGATGAGTATCAAAAGGGACTTATCAAATGTTGTTTTGTGCGGAGATGCCATCAACTCACCAAAGAAATACGTCGGAGCTCCATCTCATCCATCCAGTATTCTCCATTAATACTAGATATCAGAGCATCGTTGTGGGGTTTATTGTTGATGAGAGAATTAGCGAGTGAGTAGAATTAGAGGCGTCAATCTCTCGAGGTTAGAAGGGAAGCAAAGGACTTACATATCCATCCATCCTCGTAATAAAACGAGTCATGTCAGGCTTCAATGCTTAGATGCGAAGCAGATGACATGAGAGCTTTGGAGAAGAAATAAGTTGTCGGG